ACCAGCTCACGTTTAAGCTTCAAGATCAAAGTCTTGATCTACGTCAGCATTTTGGCCAGCATACGAGCCGTTGAGCCCGCCTATCTCTTAACTCTAGTTCGTACATCTGGCACACGTTGGAAGTGTATTTAATTGTCGTCATTTCACTTTCGTCACTTTCAAATTTGATTTGATTTTGGCCAATGTTTTGTGGCATTTTCGCATGCCTCGGTCGCTTGTGCCGGCTCGCTCGCTTTTCACAAATGCAATTAAATGCAAATTTATTGCGTAAATATTTACTTGAGCGTAAATGAATTTTAATTTTGTCATCGCAACGCAACGATTTGTGTGTTTTCGGACACATTTTTGTGAGCCCCGGCCGTAGGGGTCGACGTACCCATTCTCGATAGATACTAAATACCCAAACTTGGCTAACAATTTACCACTGAAAATTATAATAGCCAGACGTCACAGATTTGTCGACATTGTTTTATTTTATTTTTGAGTCTGTTTCTGCTTGTTTTTCTTATTTTTTGTTGTTTTTGTTATCCATTTATGGCGCAAATTGTGCATTGGCTACAATTTTATCAACAGTTTCTTCAATTACCCGGTGAAACACCAAGTTGATCGCCCCTTTCCCCCTCCGCTGATCTTCAATTTGAATTGCAGCCTGTCGGCCGCTTGCGCAGGCGCCGTGCCACGGCGCCCGACTCTTGTCTACAGGCTAATTACAGTGTCCGTATAAATGCAATAAGCTCGGCTCACAAAATATTAGCCAGCTCTGAAGTGCGAAAAGTTGCGCGAGTTCAGCTCAGCGCACATAGATTAGTTTAAACTACGACGCCGTGGGGTCAGCGTAGTTCGTTTCTGAAAATTGCTAATCATCATTTGCCGCATTTACATAAGAGAGGACTATGGCTTGAGTTTAATCTAAATAGCAGCGTGCTCGCATAATTACATTGTTTAAAGGCATTTAGTAGGTGGCTTATGATACGATATTATCGGAGAGCCAAATTTTGGCATAAGCCTAAATTTGAAACATGCAACATTAGAAAGTTATATTTATTTTTTAGTGAAAGTTATATCAACTAATATTTAGGTTAAGCTTATTTGAAATATACAATATGTTTAACAAAATATATAATATATTCATATACAATATTCCATATGCATTCATGATATCTTCATTATATATTTAATCAAATATTGATGAACTTTGCGTAGTTAAATTTTTTATTTATATTTTTTTTTGTGCTAATGTACGTCTTTGATCTGAGCTTAAGATGTTTTAGAATTTAATAACTGTGCTGAGAAATTTCTGAATACTTTATCTGCCTTTTGCACATATGTTTCGAAATTCTATTTATTGCAATACATTAACTCATATACTCTCTAATATGTTTTTCACAATTATAAAAATATTTGAACAAATGGATAAATAATTAACTAATAATTACATAGTTTTGTTGCGTTTTAGCCTATTATAGACACGCATTAGTACAAGCAAACATATTCTTTGGTGGTAAAAATAAAAATAAAATTGATTTAATACATATATTTCCCAAACACCGACTTCACATCTATGATTAAAGTTGAACTGTTCGATTAACAAAAGGCGGAACGTATATTTTATTCACATTCCTCTTACTTTTTCATATAAAATTTAGAGAATGCTTTAATCATTTCACATATGATCACCTCACATTTAATAATATATTTGGCATTTTGTTTATGATAAAAGAACCAGCCATGTTTAAACTCGGGTAATTCCCACACAAATACCTGTTTGATATATTACGAAGAGTAAGAACACTTAATTGAGCTTAATAATTCACAACTGCCAATTCTAAAGTCATTCTGTCCTTGACTACTTGCTTAACAGAGAAAGAAAAAAAAAATACAGAGAAAAAAATCAATTAATAATTATTCCAGTTGTCTTGCGATGCGACAAGCATCCGTTTTCAGTTCAGTCCATATGTGAGTCAAGTTATGCTTTGCACTTGGCTAGCGATTGTTTTGCTGTGCTCGAACAATTACACTTTTGGCTAAGTAAGGAGAAAAAAGTATAGCAAAAAAATATGTTCAATTGTTGGCTGATTTCCACGTTTTCCACTGGAAAAAAGTGAATGGGTTGATTTTGTTTTTATTTTATTTTCGGACTGTAGCGTTTAGCTTCGGTTTGCAAATGTCGCAATGGGTTGCCATTGCACCAAACTCTTCAGGTCCAGGCCTGACAGCCGTCTATTAGAGCAACGCAGCTAATCAAATTGCGTTCATCAAAGTCACTAGCGACGGCTGTGTGGGGCTGGGGCAGAGGGCGAGGCTGGCACGTTGTCAACTTTAGAATTGGTACGATTTCTTGTCAATAGCGCATGGTGTGGTGAATGAGCTCAATTTGTTGGAAGTTGAAGCGACTTCCAGTTGTCTAACTGTACGGGTCTGATTGGTTGACGTTTCTATGACGCTTGTTTTCAGTTGTCTATTGCTAAATTTCCATGGAAATCGAATAGATCATAGACAACGTATTGTATGTAAAGTACAATATATAATTAATTCTAGTTGATCATTTTGCGTTATCAGTTTCAACAACTAAGGGTGATACTTGAAGAGCACAAATTCGATAACTCTTTTATATGATTGGAGCGTATTTTCGATAGGTTTCTAAATATTCAAAATTCAACAAAAACTCATTTATTACGATTATAACTTATAATCAATAAACGGTTATTTTTTTTTTTTTTTTTTTTAATTTTATTTATTTTTTTTTTTTATTAAACGATGATAGATTAATACGTTTTATAAAATATCAATAAATATTGATTAATGCGTTTTAATATCTAATATCGATAAATATTTAATATAGACAAATTGATATTGATATTTAATATGTTGATCAATTTTAATATTTCTTTAATTATTTAAAAATTCTATAAATATTTTATTTGATATTTAATCGTTGAAAATGTTCGATATTTCATGAGATATAAAAATATTTATTTTCCAAATGTTATGGGAACTAAAATTTGGTTTGGTTTGCACGAATTATGAATTTTGATCAATATCGAGTTACTAAGAGACATCAACTATTTATATACTGACCAAGTATCTATAGGTTAACCTTAGCGAGGTATAGTCTCAGCTCGCTCAAACTTTTCCCCAGGGTACTTTCGAGTCGTTTTCTTCGCGTCTTATCAGCTTCCGCTAATTGCATGCAAATGAAATGTGGTTTCGTTCGTGCATTGCTTTGCGGCCCTTTGTTACACTTTCTGACCGCCGCGGTAAAGCGTTTAAGGCATTTGCATTTTCTTCGAAAGCTGTCTGCATTTGTGCAGGTGCATCTCATTATGATGGGGTTTTGCATTTCATGGCCAGTTGATCCGTAAGTGAGATAAAAACTTCCAAATATTTACATAAGTGCTTCCTGCAAATCTGTTAACAAAATGATTTCCTCAACTGCAGTGAGTAGTTAGTTAGTTGTCTGCCATGACTCATGACTCATGACCAGTTGCTGCATTCAATTTGTCTCACACTCGGTTTTTGGTCTCTCACTTTTTTGGCTCGGTTTTGGGCGGGTTGACCCAAACGTTTGACCCGCTGCCATGCAGCGCCCACGGGACGTATGAGCAATCAGTAATCGTGGCCAGGCACGATTTGTGGTTGTGGTTGGTTGCTAAGAAAATGCGGCTTAATTTATGAACTAATTCCAGCTACAAATCTGGGCATACAATTACTATTGTAATATCGATTTGCCGGCACATTCATATAGTCCGGCCCTCTGCCCTCACTGCAGGCCGCAATTATATAATCGAAATTTTCCAATGCCATTGAATACTGATTACGCAAATTAAATGTAATTTATTTATTTATTTATTTCATTGTTGCGGCAAAGTAAAAGCAACTTGAAGTCAGTCCGAATGGGATTTTTATCAGTCGAGGCGCAGCCAAGCCAAACAAATTTGAATATAATTTAGTTTACAGCCGCAAACGAACAAAAAAAAAAAAAAAGAAGCGAAATGGAAAAACATTGCACAAAAATTGAGACGCAACGCTGCAAAACTTTGTTTTATTGCGGCTCTGATCGATTTGTAGCGCGCCACGAAAATCGATCGAGGCAAGAGATCGTCTAGATATTTGTGCAAATGGCCACATCAAGGTCGACTGCCAGCTGCCAGCTGACGGCTGGCCATAATTTGTGCGGCAGCTCCGGCTCGAGCTGTTGCGGCTGCACGATCTAAGACACCAGAGCTTTATGATACAAAGTCTATAAAAGAGAAAAAAATCAGAATTGACTTCGTTTGCTAGTTCGCTAGCAGATATATATGCAGTGCATATTAGTGATATGTATCAGACGAGTTGTTTTTGTCATGTAGAGCTGGTCTCTAGTTTCGTTTGGGTTTAATCAGCATGTTAAATCCAAGAGCAACAAATACACTTAGGATTGGCTTGTAAAAACACAAGCTATAAATGAATCTTTAATGGGTATTTAGCGGAATTTTAATGACTTGAATTCGTACTGCTTTGATAAGCATAAAAATTGTTGAGCTCTGTATTGTCAGTTGCTAATGTAGGTACAGGTACATGTTATATAATGGAAACTTTTTATTACAAAAATTTAATAGCTATGAAAATTATAGATACAAGTTTTAACTGAATCATTTGCATAGCATTTTATTTTAGGTACAAGAGAGCATAAAAGTAAGCGGCTTTAATTTTATATATTATGCTGATTTATTGAAAGTGTCTATTAATCTTAATAGCGTATTAAAGGAGTGTAGGAATTCACTTTGAATACATCAATAAAATGTATATGAATATAGTAAAGGGTAACTCTAGTTTCTATGCTGCATTCGGAGTTATTGAAAAACGTTCACAGCAAAAACTCGACTTATGATTTGTTATTTTTGCTGCTTAGAGAAACGTGTATTAATTGTTGGGGTCATTTGCTGAATGCAGAGGTTAATTTTGTTCTCATTGGACCAATGCATGGGCGCATGGCGAGGTCAGTTGGTTTGTTTGTCAATGCGCTCACTGAATGGCAATTAATGCACAAGCCCATTGTTTAGTCGCTGCCTGTCGGCAAATGGAAATGCTTAGAATTAATCGTCGATTGTCCAGCCGTTGCCTGGGGCTTGTCTGATTGATATACATGCAGAGACAATATAAGGCACAAAATGTTGCTAATTCGATCGTCATAGTCACGTTTCCAGGGGGGGGCCAATGAAAAGCATAACTAATCACAGCTCCAACAAGCGTTGCTAAGGTCTTAATCAAAACGTGCTCCGTTCCGGCTAAGGGCAAAGCCAAATATTTACTGTTGCTGCTCAGGTAAACGTAAATGATTAAAAAAAACAACGCGCAGATCTCTAGCCATTTCTTTTCTGGGCGTAACGAGCTGCAGCTCTCCTAATTAACCCAAATTTTTGATTATTTCGGGCCAGTTGCTTGTGGTTCACAGACTTAACAAATAGATGCGGAAATTAATAAGAGTAT